AGTTGGTTAAGCGACTGCCTTCGGCTCAGGTCATGATCCTGGAGTCCCGGGATCGAGTCCCACATCGGGCTCCCTGCTCAGCGGGGGGTCTGCTTGCCCCTCTGCCCTCTTCCCTCTTGTGCTCTCTGTCTCTCATTTTCTCTCTCTCAAATAAATAAATAAAATCTTTAAAAAACAACAACAAAAAAACTGTACCATTCGGTAGATTTTAGTTTATCCGCAAAGGTGAGCAACTATCACTGCTATGGAACCCCGTGACATTTTCATCACCCCAAAAAGAAACCCCTGTCTCCATTAGCGGTCACCCCCCCCTCCCCTTGACCCCTCAGCCCCAGACAACTACTAATCTACTTTCTGTCTCTGTGGATTTGCCTATTTTGGAAATTTTGTACAAGTGTAATCATCCAATATGTGGCCTTTGGGACTGGCTTCTTTATTAGCATCATGTTTCCAAGGTCCATCCACGTTGTGGCATGAATTAGGGCTTCATTCCTCTTTACGGCTGAATAATAGTCCATTGTCCAGATATTCTACATTTTGTTTTTCCATTCATCTGGTTGATGGACCCTTGGGTTGTTTTCAGCTTCTGGCTATTGTGGATCATGCTGCCATGAACATTTGTTGTAAGTTTTTGTGGGGACCTGTGTTTTCCTCTCTTTTATGTGTATACTTAGGAGTGGAAGTGCTGGATGGTAAGATAATTGTTTAACCCCTTTGGGGAACTGTCAAACTTTCCCAAAGCAGCTGCACCATTTACATTTCCCACCAGCAGCATCTGAGGTTCCAATCTTTCCACATCCTCACCAGCAGTTACTATTGTCTTTTATTTATTTATTTATTTAAAGATATTATTTATTTAATTGACAGAGAGAAAGAGAGACAGCGTGAGAGGGAACACAAGCAGGGAGAGTGGGAGAGGGAGAAGCAGGCTTCCATCCGAGCAGGGAGCCCGATGCAGGGCTCGATCCCAGATCATGACCTGAGCCGAAGGCAGTCACTTAACCAAAACTGAGCCACCCAGGCGCCCCTGTCTTTTTTTTTTTTAAGATTTTATTTATTTATTTGACAGAGAGAGAGAGAGACAGACACAGAGCACAAGCGGGGAGCAGCAGAGGGAGAGGGAGAAGCAGGCTGTCTGCTGAGCAGGGAGCCCGATGTGGGACTTGATCCTAGGACCCTGAGATCATGACCTGAGCCAAAGGCAGACGCTTAACAACTGAGCCACCCAGGAGCCCCTATTATTGTCTTTTTTGAAACGATTTTTAAAATTAAAAAAAAAAAAAATCTCTATACCCCATGTGGGGCTCAAACTCAAAACCCCGAGATCAAGAGTCTCACGCTCCCCCGACGGAGACAGCCAGGCACCCCTGTCTGTCTTTTTGATTACAGCCATCCTAGCGGATGTGAAGTAGTACCTCATGGTGATTTTGATTCGCGTTTCTCTGATGACAAATGATGTTGAGCATCTTGTCATATGCTTATGGGTCATTTATATGTCTTCTTTGAAGAAATGTCTATTCAGATCCTTTGCCCATTTTTAAATTGGGTTGTTTGTTATTTTTAATTTTGAGTTGTAGGTTTTTTTCTCTTTTTTAAGATCTTATTTTTTTATTTTATTTATTTTTAAGATTTTATTTATTTGAGAGAGAGAGAGCCTGAGCGGGGAAAGGGGCAGAGGTAGAAGAAGACTCCCCGCTGAGCAGGGAGCCATATGCGGGACTCGATCCCAGGACCCTGGGATCATGACCTGAGCTGAAGGCAGACACCCAGGCGCCCCTAAGATTCTATTTTTAAGTAATCTCTGTGCCCAGCGTGGGGCTGGAACTTACAACCCTAAGATCAAGAGTCACATGCTCTTCCATCTGAGCCAGCCAGGCGCCCCATGTTATAGTTCCTTATATATTCTAGCTACCAGTCTTGTATCAGATGTATGATTTGCAAAAATTGTCCCCCTTCTGTGGGTTTTCTTTTCACTTTCTTGTTGATGTCTTTTGGGGCACATCATTTCAAATTTTGGTGAAGTCCAGTTTATTTCCTCAGTTGCTCGTGTTTTTGGTGTCATGTTTAAGAAATCATTGCCTAATCTAAGGTTGGTAGGTTTTCTCCTATGCGTTCTTCTAAGGCTTGTAGTTTTAGCCTTTATGTTTAGATCTATGGGACATTTTGAATTGATTCTTCTGTATGGTGTGAGGTAGGGATTCCACTTCCTTATTTGCATGTGGCTACCCAAGTGCCCAGCACCACTATGGAGTAGTCTTTCCTGCTTCTCTTGATGGATAAAGCACAGTGACACCCCAGCCTGGTGGCCCAGCAGAGCCAAGGCTATCTTCCTTGGAAGTGGCTGCAATCACCTCAGACTCAGTCAAGATCCTCACCCTGTGAGGAGCTGCAGCAGGGGGTGCTGGCTTCCTGTCTTTGGTGCATTTTTCAGAGTCCAGAGTGCTAACCATTACACCATGGGACCCGTCTTTCTTTGGTGCATTTTTCAAGGTGCATGACTCCAAGGTCACCTGCCACTGCTTCCTGAAGCTTCCTGAGAGTGGGGCCTCTCCACTTCAAGGCCGGGCCTCTCCTTTTTTTGACATGAGAAACCCTTTTCTTTTTTGTCACCCATTCTTTTAACTCACTGAGAACTTGTTCTGAGAAGGTTGTGCTGAGACCCTATCGTTCCCCAGGCCAGGGTCCTGGCCAGTATAGAGTAGAGGTGGGCCCTGCCTACTCCCACTGAGTTGAGGCCATTCTGATGTTGGCAGACTCCCTAACCACTGACTGATACCCAGCAGGTACCCCTCTGGCCTCAGGTTGCTATTCTCCCACCCTTGATCTTCTCAAGCAGATCCACACCTTGCAGCTTCTTCCTAGCTTAGAGACAGGACCGAGATGGGGAGGTGGTTCCTTCTTGAGGTTCGCGGGTGGGCATTTATTCTGAATTCCCACAGTGGGGCCTCTGCACTGGCTGGGCTGTCCCCTTCTCTGCAGGGACCTATGGACTAAGCAATGCGCTGCTGGAGACGCCCTGGAGGAAGCTGTGCTTTGGGAAGCAGCTCTTCCTGGAGGCCGTGGAGCGGAGCCAGGCGCTCCCCAAGGATGTCCTCATTGCCCAGCTCCTGCATGTGCTCAACAATGACGAGGCGTGAGTGGGCGGATCCTGCCATGGCGAGCAGTGTGTCCCCCTTCTTCTCTAGCCCTGGGATGTAGAGGCAGGCAGGCTGTGCTGCCCTAGGAGGCTTGTGGAAGTGACTGGGTCCAGCTCCTCAGCCAGGGGGAGCCTGATGGACATACTGTCCTTTGCTCCTCTCCTAACTGCTCCCCTCCTGGGCCAGTGCACTTAGAAGCTCAATGCTCTCAGAGGCTTGATGTGGGCCTGTGTGAGGCAGAGAGTAGCTGGAGGTTCCCCGTGTCTGCACACCACTAGTCGGAGATTCTAGAAAGCTCCAGGTGCTTAGCCAACCACAGAAGCAAGCAGCCAGCCTGGGACTATATCTAGGGGTTAACTGTTCTTCCCACATGCTGTCCTACCAGTGCTGTGGCACAGACAAACCTGTCCCGGGAATCTCCTCGGGGAAAGGAGCTCCTGACCCAACTTCCCTAAGGCACCTCGGTGGCCTCTGCACACAGTACCTGCCTCAGGGACACCACCCCCTGGCGTGTCCTGGCCATCCCACCTGGGGGTCAGAGGTGCTGGCCAAGCTACCTTCTTCCCATGCCACAATGTGGCCCATACTCAGGCCAGGCCGCTATCCTGCCCAGATGCCCCAGCAGCCCCTCAGAGGAGCCCTCATGGGCTGCCTCCCACTCCTGTCTCCTGCAGCCCCTCCCTGCCCCTTGCTTACTCTCCATCTCCTGTTGGAACCATGAACTAGGGCACTTTCAGCCTCAGCATAGCCACCTCTCAGGGAAGCCCTGCTAGGGCTGGTCCAGCATCCCCTGCTCAGCTGTGAGTCATGTGGCCCTCAGTCACTGGCTGTCATCCCCTCTGGCCTGAAATGGGGTCCTGGCTGCTTTGACAGCTGTGGGCCCAGCACCAGCTTCAGTGGCTGGCAAGCTGCAGGGCTCAAGTGGGCTCCTGTCACGTGGAGAGATGCCCATAGGGTACCCCTTGGGGTAGGCAGGGCGTGTGTGTGGCCAGTGACCCCTCAGCCAGGCCCCTGCCCCATAGCACCCCTAACCACTGAGACCTCACCAAGACAGGAAGGTAAGTTTGCTCTGAGAGATGACTTCTGTCCTTTCTGGGGGGGGCCCTGCACAGCTCTGACCAGATTGACCCCCGGCATTTGCAGATTCAGCAGAGCCTTCCCCAGTGCTGAGCTCATGTCCCTGGGTCCTGGGAAAGCTCCTGGGGGCCCTGGCAGGGGGAGCTGGCCTGGCACTCACTGTCTGGCAGCCTGGGCCCAGTGATGGAGTCCTAAATAAAAGACTGGACTGAGATTTGAGGCCTTCAGCAGAAAAGTGCACAGAACAGCCCCTGTGGATCCCCCAAACCGCCTCATGAGGCTGGTAGGCTCCCTAGGCACTGCAGGCCTTGAGGATGGCAGGTGGGGCTGTGGGTGGGTGGGTGGGGGTGGCAGTGACCCGTCCTCTGTCCTTCCAGGCAGCTGCCAGACCCGGCCATTGAGGACCAGGGCAGGGAGTACGTGCAGCCCTTCCTGAGCAAGTATGCGGCTGTGTGTGTGCGCTGCCCGGGCTATGGCACCAGGTACGAGGGGCTGCTGGGTGCATTCAGTCCTGTCCCACGAGGAACCCGGCCTTCCCTGAACTCTGTGGATCCCAGAGCCTCTGCCCTATCTAAAAGCAGCTGCCGTTTCAGCTTGGGGGGCGGCTGTGGGGCCGACACCACAGCGGATGGTTTTGCACAACAAGCTCGCTGGCTCCCAGGGATACTGTAGAAATGGTTCCTGGGCTGCTTCCTGCTCCCTCCACAGCCATGAGGGGGCTGGGATGGCCATGGACGCACTCGGCTTGGCAGATCCCTGTGGGCCCAGAGGTCCCACTGCCCAGCTCTTCCTCTCACATTGCCCTGTGTCCTTGGATCTGTTACATTCTCTGTGTGACCAGAGCAGGAATCAGGTCATGTCGGCCTGGGCACATCACCCAAGAAAAGGGCAACTTCTGGCCTCAGCCACAAGGGGAGAATGCCTGGGAAGGAGAAGCTGTTGGCATGGGTGTCTGCTGTCCCATCAAGTTCTTTCTCTGCCTCTCTCCCTCCTGGGCAGAGGAAGATTGGCTCTGTGTGTCTGGGAGGCCCAGCCCATCCCTGCGATTCTGTCTGGGGTAGCCTACCTGCTGTACTTGGAGGTGGGTGGGTTGCTGGACCAGCCAGGATGCCCTAGGAGTGCTGTTGCTCACCTGGCCCACCTGGCCCACCTGGCCTGGAGGCAGACTGTGGCCTCGTGCAAAGCAACATCTGCCCGGATTTGGCTTGCACCAGGCCCCATGGGCACCAGCCTTGTGCTGGGCTGGTGACCTGCAGCGGACTGTGGATAGGCCAAGCTCTTGGGGGCCCGTGGCCACTAAGGACTCAGGGATGGGGTGCTTGGGTGGTGACAGGTGCTGAGTGATGCCACGGTGATACCGCATGTACTCTGGGTACATGGTGATGTCACACGTAATGCTTGGGTTTCGAGTTCAGGTTGGCCCGAGGCTTCCATCCTCCAGGAAATGACAGCTTTGAGCCCTCTAGCTGGGGGATGGGATAGGTGGCAGGGCCATGGTGGTGTCACTGCCCAGCACTGATGCTCCAGGGCCCAAGGGTTGTATGCCTGAATGGTGGCCTTTCCATTCTTAGGCTTTTCCCTTTGGCAGGTGGCGGGTCATGAATTCTCTCAGGCTTCTCCATCACAGACCTTTTTCTTGACAAATTACATGCTCACGTGTACTCATGTGCGTGAGGCAGAGTGCCAGGTCTGCTCCCTGGCCAGGTGTGTGGCTGCTGGGTCCAAGCCCGACTGGGATCCCCAGTCTTCGGCATGGGTGTGCCCACTCTGGGTTTCAGCTTGCACAGGGGCTGCCCTCTCTCAGGGGGAGACAGGTGCTAACAAAATGAGGACTGGCCTTGGGGACGGCTGGCAGGAGGAGAGAAGGTGCACTGAGCATTTGGGATGGGTAGAAGGGGAGGAGGACAGGAGAGGGTTCCTGGTGATAGAGGCCCCATTTGGGGCTCTACCAGGCAGGCAGGGGGCTGAGGGCAGAGGGCTGAACGTGGGCCCCCTGCTTTCTTTCAGAACCAACACGGTCATCCTCGTGGATGCGGACGGGCACGTGACCTTCACAGAGCGTAGCATGCTGGACAAGGACCCCGCCTGCTGGGAGACCAGCACCCATGAGTTCAAGCTGCAGAGCTAACCCCTCTCCCTGGGTGTGGCCATTGGGCTCCTGGAAGGCCCTGCCTCGAGGACCAGTGTGGATAGGAACCTTCCGTAGGCACATGCACTGCCTGTGACTTGGCCAAGCATCCCCCAGGACCAGGGCCCTCTGGTGTTTCTGTGACCTGTCTGTGTCCACGTGTCCAGCTCAGGGTCTGCCCTTACGCCAGTAGGAGTGACAGAGTCCCACAGCCAGGCCTGGGGCAGGCCTAGGTGTGGTGTGCCCGTGTGAAGGCACCTGGGTCTGCCCCTGTCCAAGCACAGAGGTACAGAGTCGAGGCACATGCTTCCATGCACACCTGGAGGTGCACGGGCACACACACACCATGCACAGGCAACAGATAGGTGTACACATGCTCAAATGCACACCCAACCCCCAGCGTACACACGTATGCATGCTAGACAGGCAGAGATGTGCCGCTCGCATCTGCAGGTGCTTCTGGCCAGTGGGTCTTTGCTTTGATCAAAACAACAGGGTGTAGACTTTTGTTTAAAAGTGGCTCCCTTTCTCCTGGGCGTAGTCCACTTCTGGACAGCTAGACTTGCTCTTGGAGAGGAGAGGCCCCATTTGGAATGAGAAATGAGAACAACCCCAGAAAAACCCACTGTCATAACAGAAGCACAGGCTGGTTGGTGGTCCTTTGTGCTCTGGGGAGTCTCCTGTGTGCATGGGGTGGTCCTGTGGGGGGAGGGGGGTGGTCCTGCATGATGCCCCAGGGGTCCTGTGTATGCTGGGGCACCTTGGTAGGCTCTCAGGCAACTACCTGCCCATTGGGGGTCATGGGTCTTGGGCAGGCCCTCTCAGTGAGGGGACACAGCCAGCCCTTGCTATTTCCCTTCTCCTTAGGGAGTCAGACTTCATAGGAATCTGTACTTGAACGTGAGACCTTGATAATAAAACTCGGAGGCTGTGGTGAGTCAGTGCATTTCAGGTCCTTGTGTGATGGGGGACAACTGTGCAGGGGGTCAGTAGGGCTGCTCTCTTGGTCTGCAGGAGCTCCCAAGGCACACTCACCAGAACAAGCCTCTTCCCACTTTCTTCTTTTGCTCATGGGTCTCTGAGCACCCTGATAGAAACCCAAGGGTCCATCAGCCTGTCCATCTGTCTGTCCTTGGGCTGGGGTTCGAGAGACAGCCTATATGCATGGGACACGGTAGGTGCCAGTTACAGGGCCTCCTGAGCTGGGCTGAGGAGCCAGGGACTCATCTGGGTGTAGTGAAGAGCCCTTGGGGACCTCCCCATGGAGTGGTATGGTCAGGCCTGCACTTGGGGTGGACTGTGGAGGCCAGGGGATGGTAGGAATGGGTTTCAGGGCAAGGGGGCAAGTGGAGTCTGTCTTAAGTGCAGGACCCTGGTTTGCGGCAGGTACTCAGGAGTTCCTGTCCCTAGCCCAGGCTGAGCATCAGGGGGTCCCGTTGTGTGTCCACTGCTGAGACCCAGACTTCCATCTGCCTTTGCAGCTGACCCCCAACTTGGGCTCCTCAGAGCCAGTGAGAGCTCGGGGTGGGGTGTGGACCTGCACCCGGCCCCACTTGCCTTCTCAACCCTTCCCTCTTCTCACCCTGAACACCCCTCAGGGGACTGATGCCCTCCTTGGCTCACTTTGAACTCAGAGGAAAAGTGCTTGAGCATGGTCAGGTTTGAATGGGGTCCCCAGTGGTGGCTTAGCCCACAGCCCCAGGCCCAGGGGCAAACACTTGTTGGCTGAGGCACACCGACCCAGGCTCTCAGCCCAGGCACTGCCGATGCCCTTCATCTGCCTCAGTGCCCCACGCCAGCACCCACCCTGGCCAGGCATGTCTGCCCTCATGGGGCACCACTGGGCTGGTGCAAAGCCTTTGGAGCGCTCTCCCTGATGTTTGTCTCTACGCCAGGGACAGGGCCTGCACAGGGATACCCCAGCCCTCAACCTGCCCTGGGCTTCCCAAGTGCCTGATGTAATTCTATTGTTATGGGTTGAGTTGTGTGCCCCCCGAAAGATCTATTGGCATCCTAGCCCCTGTACCTCGGAATATGACCTTATTAGGGTCTTTACAGAAGTAATCAAGATAAAATGCAGTCATTAGGGTGGGCCCTAATCAGGTATGACTGATGTCCTTATAAAAAAGGGAAAATTTGGACACGGGGACAGACATGCATGCAGGCAGAATGCCCTATAAAGACTGGAGCTATGCTGTCCCATGCCAAGACACTACCAGAAGCTGAGAGAGAGACCTGGAACAGATCCTTCCCTGGTGCCTTTAGAGGGAGCGTGGCTCTGCCAACACTTTGAGCTCAAACTTCCGGCCTCCAGAACTGTGAGACAATAAATTTCTGTGGTTTGAGCCACTCATTTATGGTACTTTGTTATGGCAGCTCTAGCAAACTAAATCAATTGTGACCTTCATTTTACAGATGAGGAAACTGAAGCTTGGGGAGATACTATAACAGTGTCTCAGTCCCCAGGCAGGTAGGGAGGCAGAGCCATGGGGCCAGGAAGGAGAGGATGCATCTTGGGGTGTCTTCCCTTGTAGGCTCATGGTCCTCCCACGTTGGTTTCACCTGCTGCCCTGCACTCCCCTCCCCCCCCATCACATTTTTCTTGCCTCTGCCACTGCCTTTGGTTGCGCTTTCTGCACAGCTTCTGCCCCAGGGCCTTGGCACTTGCTGGCCCTTCTGGTTGAAGAACTCTTCTCCCCCCCTCCCCTCATATATCCAAACCACACTGTCCCTCACATCCTGCAGCTCTTTGGTAAAGTCTTGGGGAGGCATCCCATCTGAAGCTGCAATCTGCCCTGCTTTGGTCCCTGCTCTATTTTCTATAGCAGTTAGCACTGGGACATGCTATGTGTTTTGCTTGATTGTTTCTTGTGTGTCTCCCTGTCAACAAGAGCTTCAGGAGGCAAGGCCATTCCTCTCTTGTCCATCACTGTATCCTGATGCCCAGGTCAGGTAGACATTTGAACCAAAAATGACATTGCTGGCACTTCGCAAGCCCCCATTTATTTAGGCCTTGAAGTGAGACCCTTGTGTGGTTAGAAGGGACCCTAGGAAGCTGTGCTTTCTAGAAGTGCTTTTGACATGCCACACAGGAAGGCCTGGACCTGACCTTGGCATGGCTTAGCTAGTCATCAGATGCACTGGATCCCTGAGTTCCCAACATGGGTCTTCTTTTCCCAGATGGAGGGGTAATTCACCTCCTCTTCAGATGCCCCTGATGAGCTGCTTCTGCTCTCTGGTTCTAAGACAGCCAGTTGAAGTGTGTTGGCATGCAGACTGGAGGTGTGGAGCTGACTGATATGGAAGCTAAGTCTGAGTAAACAAGACCAGCCCAGGAATGCAGCCTGGCCTTGAGGCTTGTCATGGCAGGCCTGAGATCCTGGCCTTCTGCCTGCAGAGACACCCCCCGCCACTGCCCCACCACTAACACCTGATCTTTTGGTCTCATTTGCCAGCAGATAGCATCATCCAGGCCCTTTAGCAGAGACCTGGCTCATGGGTGAGCTGGGCTCAGGTGGAAACATACGAGCCTGGAAGGAAAAGTTTCCTCAGTTTGGGCTAGAGCTCCGGCTTCTAGGCATCCACCTGAGGTTGGAGTCGGATGGGGACTGTGGGGACATTGTGTGGGAAGGCCATGTGGGAAGCCAGCTGTTGGTCTGAGGTCTCGAGTCTGAGGCAACTCACCAAGCAATAAAGTGTGGAGAGTTTGCTAAGGCTGGATGGTGGCATGCCAAGGGTTCCCATGAGCTCTGACCACTGGGCCAAGGAGAGCAGTTGGCCCAGCCACAGAGAGGCTGGCCTCCCCTGGCTAAGTCCAGGAGCTAGAACTTCATGGGGCTTGGTCACATTTTTATTGTGAAGTGTCTGGTGCTGACCCCTGGACAGCCAGGTAAACAGAAAGGGGCAGGAAGGGAGGGAAGGGCCTGGATAGGCCTCCAGCTTTCTCACCTGCAACACTCTTTTTCCCCACCTTTTTTAATCTTTTCATTTTGAAATGATTTCAACTTACTAAAAACTTGAAACAATAGAACAAAACATTCCAGTGTCTTTCACCCAGTTCCCCCAAATGTTAACACCCTACCTCTAGCCATACTAAAATGATTACAACCAGGAAATTAGCATTGATACATTACTACCAGCTAATTTACAAACCTGATTTGAATGACCAGTTGTCCCACTTCTGTCCCTTTCCTGAGCTAGGTTCCGATACAGGGTCCAGATCCCACATCACATAGTTGTGTTTCCTGTAATTGAAGACAGCTCCTCAGTGTATCTTTGACTTGAATGATCTTGCCACTTGAAAAGCACCTGCCGGTTTTTTGGTAGAATGTCCCTCATTTGAGTTTGTCTGATCTTTCTTCATTCAGGTTTTGCCTTTTGGGTAGTGATGCATGTCCTTCTCAGGAGGCCCACAATATGTCTTTACTGGTGCTGACCTTTGTCTTCATTTTTATTGAGGTATCATTAGTATACTATACAACGAATATCTTTAAAGTATAAATTTGGTAAGTTTGGGTGTGTATACGTTTGTTGGTGACCTCGATCACTTGGTTACCTGGTTCTCTCTCAGGTTTTTCTCCACTGCAGTTACTATTTTAGGTTTGCAGTTAGTGTCTTGGGGAGAAACTTTGCATCTCTGTAAAGCAACAAAAAAAATCGCCAATTCTCCTACTTTGCTGCTATTTTTAGCATCCGTGATTTTTGTCTGCAGCAGGTTTGTGCAGGCTGCCAAAAGGGAGATTTCCTACTTCCATCATTCCTTCTACATTTATTCACTGGAATTCTGGTCTAAGGAAGAGCTGTCCCTTCTCCACTTACTCATACCCTCCCTTTTCTGAGGTTCCTGAAATGGCATTAGCAAGTGGAAAAATGCCGGAAGTTCAGCATATTTGTCCTTTTTTCCTACTGATTATGCTTAATGCTTTTAATTGCAAACGTTTAATGATTGTGTGTATATGGTCTCGTCTGCACTGCGTAGACCACGGAGGCTCCCCCTGCTCCCGGCGTCCTCTGCGCTGCCCGGCTGCGGGCGCTTCCCGCGTTCTCCCGCTCCCGGCATCCCCTGCGCTCCCCCTTCCCCGGCATTCCCTGCGCTTCCCGCGCTCTCCTGTTCCCGGCATCCCCTGCGCTGCCCGTTCCCGGCGCTCCTCGCGGCCGCCGCCCTCCGCGCGGCGAGCCCCGCCCCG